CAGCAGGATATCTGTTTGTGTGCTACTTAAAGGAAACAGGCTTTGAAAACTGCAGAACAACATTATGCCAAAGGTTTCTTAACTGAAAATTTTTAGCAACCTGTCATCAGATCTCTTGGTTTTTCCAAACTTCCATTTCACACAAATATTCAGGATGTGCATATCCAGCATGCACAAACCTACACCCTCCATCCAAATGGCTAACACACTACCTGGGGTTGCCAAAATTTCACAACAGAACGACTGATATAAAACATCTAAGTCCAGACTTATATTTTAGTTTCCAATTTCCCAAAAGTCTCACTTTGTGGAACAAATCCCACTGAAGATAAGGGGAGCACTGAATGCTTTGCATCTTTGACAGCTTAGGTTACTTTTATTAAAGCACTTATATTTAAGAGCCTCATACCAGGAGGCACCTGGTCTTTCCAGTTTTGGCCTATGTACTTGAGTTGAACAACCTCATTATAGGTATTCCCACAGACATGAGTGGATTTTATAGACAGCAGGCATAGCACTCTCATTAGCATTTCTGAGGCAACCAAAAAGAAAATCATTTAGTCTGGACATTGAAGGGTTGAGCTGACAACTCTGCCGCCTCCTAGCAGAGAGCACATGCATGGCCAGTCATGCCCATGTAGCTCAAGGGCAAGGAATCACAACTGTTTTGTTGTCTTGCCAGTCAGTGTTCAGAGCTCATATTATAAACCTGAATATCAGATTCTTTTATAAATTTCTTGAGAGTTGGTCTTATTACACCATGATAACTTCTAAGTAGACCCCAGTTCAAGGCTTAGTCTGGAAATACAGTCACTCTGCTTCCTGGGCTCCAAGGTCTAATGGCTCCAAAGTCAGCCAGCATGTAGAGCTTGCTCACATTTCCCTCTGCAGTTCACAAGGAGATCCAGATTGTAGCTTTTTTAAAGCTGTCAGGCAGATTGTCTACCTCGACCTTTAGATAAGTGGAATTGTACCATTTCACTTTGAAGGGAGGGCATGCAGGTCAACTGGAATGTCAAATAGCAGGGTTTAAGAGATCTGAATTATGAGGAAAGGCCAGAATAGGTGAGGTGAGACTACAAGGTGGCTTTATAGAAGAATCAGTATTAAAAGAAATGTCAACTCTGACACAAGAGGGCCATTTATTAGCGAATCAGAAACTAAACACAGAACAAATTTGGAGCAAACTGAGATATGGAACAGAATCATAGCTCTATGTTATATGCAAATTCCTGTGAAAAGACACTCGCAGCCTAATCCTGCAATGTGCTTTGTACCTCCTGGGATATGTACAGTGCCCTCACTTCACCTTGAAGACAGAGAGAACTGAAGTCACTTAACACCAGCACAGGCTGGAAGATAACAGAGCACATGATTTTCTGTTTGAAGAACACACAGATTGCAGTAACTGAAATGGAACATGGCTCCTGTTAGTTTATATATGAATTAATATATGATCTCATATAAATCAATTATGTCAAACATATGTTACTCCTATTACAGCATTTGTATATAGCATATTGTAGATTATACATATTTTTATTCCACATAAGGCTTGGACAAAAGCACATGGAACATATTACTGAAAAGGCAATTAAAGCAAAAATATGCAGTAAGTACAGTAGGTACACACAGAGATTAGTTTCTGAGGAAGGCAGGAAAGAAAAAACTATGAGAAAATTAAGAGCAATGAAAAATAAAAACACTATACATGTAAAGATACTAAATAAAAGTTAGCATGAGGAACTGGCACATCGCTAGCTCTTACAACTGTTTATATGCCTTAGTACTAGCTAAAATTAAACAAACTTGTTTAACTTTCAGCAATGCAAAACCAAAGGGAAAGACCTAGGGAAAAGGTAAAAATATAAGGTATGAAATTCATTATTTTCTAACATAACAAAGTAGTAAAGGGTGGCTTTAAATTCAGCCCCACTTGGAGAAAAAAGTAGCATCAAAGGATACAGTTTCCACAGATGAAGAGGATGATGAAGTAAATACAGACCAACATTCCTGGAAAAGAGGGGCCGCCATAAGCCATGATCCCATCATACATCACCGAATTCCAGTCCTCCCCAGTCAGGATCTAAATGACACATTCCCACCAATAAGGGATACAGTGTTAGACCACACAGAGAATTTGAAAACCCCATTAACATAAAGATATCTACTATTCTAGAGAACACCCCCTCCCCCAGGATGGTTGGAGACTCTGACTGTGTCCATCTAGAAAATAATTAAAAAAAACAGAACAAGGAGAATGCAATGAGGACCTGTGCTCAAAGTCCAAAAAAAGCCCAGATGTCCCCTTGAAGATGATGGCTGAAGCCAAAGGGCTCTCCCAGACAACTCTGTTCAAGTCTCCCCATCTCTTCCAGGCATTTCCCTCCCACACGTCTTGCTTCAGACAGGCTGCACAACCTGTCGCACTGAAGTCAGCCCTCAGCACAGCCCTTCCTGCCACCACTTCCCTTCACCTTGCACATGAAGTCATGATCCTGATCTCTTGGTTGATCACTCCCAAAACTGCAGTCAGCTTAAAGGCCATTTGATTACTTCTTTGGTGCTGTGAGCAGATATTTGTCCCTCAGTATTGTAGGAGGAGGGAGGACAGCTGCAGGGTTGGGCTTTGGCATGCAGGTGCTGCCCTGGGACATGGCAATGGCCATTCTCTTGTCCTACCCTGCTAATACCTGGTGGCCCTGCTACACACAGAGGCTTTAGCTTTGGTTCCCCACTTTGGGAGGGAATACCTCTGTGCTGGCAGCACAGCATGGCACCTTGCTCCTGGAGCTGTTAGCCTGATGTCCTATCTTGGGGACTGTCAGGCTGCAGGCGAAGGGTGCAGGACCTGCTCTCTGTCTCACCCCATGTAAACACAATGTGTTGGCCCCATTGGGACCACTCTTGCCCTTACCTGAAACACAGTGAGGAGAGACTGGGGGAAATTGTCAAAGGTACTCCTCCTGGTCTGCATCTCATCAAAGTTAAACTTGCCCCCAAAGAGCTGCATCCCCAGGAGTGAGAAGATGATAATGAAGAGGAAGAGAAGCAGCAACAGGGAGGCAATGGAGCGAACTGAATTCAGGAGTGAAGCCACAAGGTTACTCAGGGAGTTCCAGTATCTGGGAGAGAAAATAGAGGCAGTTAAAATTCCTTCAATCCAAGACAGGTGCTCATGGACTGCACAGGATATTGGTTCAGGCTGCTTCTGTGTATAAGCAGGCATTTCCAAACACCCTGTTAAGCAGTGAATCATTGATGTGCTTCCCTAAGATAATGAGACCTGCTGCAGCTAATGAGTAATTTTACTACCACACGTGTACATACACAATTCCCTCCACCTCCCACCCCATATGCACACCCAGAATATTATTGCAGCACTCTCCATCTAAGGCTCTGCAAATCTTATATCAATATACGGTGATTAGTTCTTGCTGCTTCAGTGAGTTACATTCTAACCAGCCCCATTACAACACTCACAGATGTTATGGCAGTCAGAATACCTCACTCCAGAGAATGGCCTATAATAACTAACAAGAGCAGATGAGGAAACAGTTTGGATGCAAATACAAACTTGTCCAAAATCTGGTGTGTGTGTATGTGCTTGGGCTCACTCACAGATAGAGGTTGCTAAGCTTTCTGGGATTGAGAGGAATGAGAAAGGTATTAAAGGTCATTTTACATGGACCCTAAGACTCCAGATCTACATCCATAAAGTCTCCTTTGCTCTTGGAAAAGTACACCATCACTACTGTTTTTGGATATCAAACCCACTATACTTCCTCAAACAGGCTACAGAATGTTTTGGAAGGGCTTCATTCAAGAGATAGAATGGCTGAGACCTGTTCTCCCAGTGTATTCAGGTTTATGCTCACATCAGACTGATGTATGATACAGAGAAAGGATCTTCCGGCCCTTGTGTTTCACTTTAGGGTTCAAAGAGATGCCAGCAGCATGCTCTGCCACAGCATGTCAGTTTGCTTGCATTCTTTGCCAGCCTGCAGAGTAGCCATGTGTTGGAAAAAGGCTTTAGAAAAAATTGCTAAAGAATCCACCACATCACCCATGAAGCAGCTTCCACTTCAATCTTGCATCTGCTCAACCATTCCTAGTCTACCGCTTAGCTGGTCATTACCACTTCTCTTTTATGCAGTTTTGAGTTTGACAGAGCTTTCAGACTGGACTGAAGATTAGCTGTCATCTTCCAATCACCTCCTTTTAAATGCACATTACTAGCAAGTTTCAACAGCTTTCACAGGTCATCAAGCCAGTAATGTTTGCCTGTGATCTCTAAGTCTTTCTTCCATCTCATGTGGCCTACCACCGTGCTTTGTGATTCCACCATGGCCAACGTCCTCCACTCCCTTCTCCCAAAGCCCATAACACCGAACCTTTCTTTCCTTAGAGAATTCTGAATTTCTAGCTGTATTTCTTTCCTCAGAGACAAAAGTTCCACTTGAGAAGGATGCCAGACATATCTAGTGCTCTCGGTCCTTTGAGGAAGCCTGATCCTTTGACGTATAAACTTTTTCTGAAGGTAATGTAGTCGTTAGAGACAAGGGTTCTTAAAATCCCAGTTAAATTAATATTTTTAAAATGTCAGTGTAAAAGAAGATTTTTTTTTGTCCCATGGAAGACAGGAATGTTTGAGCAGCCCAATCATTTTATGAAGGTTAGCAATCTTGATCTGCAGAGGGACACCGTCATGTCCTCTGCAGTTCAGCAACTGGTTCATCTCCAAGGACTGAGCTTCAAAGACAACTGTGATGTTTTCCCTCCAGCCCAGTTTCAGCACTTCAGAGAAAACTAGAATGCTTTAAGGTTTAACTGCAATTAAAGAGATGAGCAATGAAAAACTACAGAGCAAAGGTAAGGGCATGGAAGCTGTGGGCTCAGTGCCAACAAATATCTACACTGAATGTGCAATGTAACAGCTCCCTGTATTTGCGTTTATGCTTACAGCTCACATACTTTCACACTTTGAGAGGAAAGGAGAGTGACACAGGAAAAGGGAAAAATGCATTTCTGATGAAACTCGCCTGAGTTTAGCATCCTTAAACCAGAAATCAATGGAGTCCAGAATATCTCTCCAAGTCCTCCAATGTCAACCAGGACACACATTTTCTAGGTCTTTCTACAGTGCCCTTAAGAGGCATAAAGTGTTACACATCGGAATAGTCTCAGTGTCTCACTTTAAGCCTAAATGCCTTGCTATCTCAGAGCGCAACTTTGCAGACTTTTATCAGGTCTGCATTTCTTACAAATGTGTCGATACCCAAGATTCAGATTCTTATGTAGCATCAAACTTAAAGCAATTAACTGAGATGACCTGGTGATAAGATTAGTGCTGTTTTGTCTGTGTACTGAGTGCTAGATAGAAATACTGCACCATTAGAAAAGTAAACAACCCGGGGGCGGGGGAGGGGAGGGGTGGGGTGGAGAGAGAAAAAGGAAAAAGGAGATGATAAGGAAGGCTTGACTTGACTAGGATGTGAAAATAACAATTGTCTTATCTTAGTGTCCCAGAAGCCTGACCTGAGGTTACCATCTGTCACGTTAGGTGGTTGCAGAAAACCCCCTCAAAGTGAGATGTGGAGTTACTCAGTGAAACACGAGGCTTTTAAGTCAGGAATGGTTGAAGCCCCGACAAAGACAAAGTGTCTCACTATTCTTTGTCCTCTTAGGTTAATATACTACAAAGAAAAAAACAGTTACAATAAATCTCATGGTACTTCTGGATGGAATCAGAGGTTTTGGACCAGGCGGCATATAATGGGAGGTACCAGAGAAAGCCCTGCTGTTGCCTCAGAGTTCTAGGGAAATGAATGTGCTTCTTAACATCTCCTACTTGCAGGCCTCAGACCCTTGAAGATGCCAGTGAATGAGGCACTGCAAAACCCCAGTGAGTAGGACGTGATTATGATCCCTGTTTCAAAATGGAGGAATGATGCAGAGAAGTTAAATGGTGTGTTCAACATCTCACACAAAAATCAATTGCAGAACTGGATCAGAACTTAATGTGTTCTTTTATTCTCTTCTCTCTCCTTCCTATTGCCTTCCACTATGTCTTTATGATACTGGCCATCACAGATGCAGAGCTTAAAACAGTAGCAACAGCTGGCAGTCTCATTGTAGGAAAGCTTCCCACACTGTTCATCCAATATAAAACCACTTTGAAAGCAGGTACAAAAAAAAGGTGCTCTGTCTCTCTTCCCTACAGTTAACAGTGACATACCCAGTGGCAGGATTAGGTATAAAATATCAAATTTCAATATCCTGTTGCAAATAAGTTGATCTATTTTTTAAGTATAAAGGACTAAATACAGGGATTTAGAAAGCAGTAAGGGGCTATTTATAAAGAGAAAATAATTTGTCTTCTCACAGTAAAGGGGGACTTTCTGCACAGCCCTGTAAAAATAAGGGAGAATAAACCAAACAGATTATATTGTCTGCTCGTCTGTTGTACAAGACTAAATGATTCTGAAGAGTATTTACAATTTCAGAAGAAATGTTAGCTCTTGAAATTCTAAATGTGGTTTCTAAAATGATGCATTGTTCATCTGATGGTGTCTTTATTTGTTTCTATTATATTAGGGAGCTGTATTTGTGTTTTTCCTAGAAGCTTATCATCTTGACACACCCAGAATTTGTGCTTGGTGTTTACCACAGATATTCCATACAAATATATAAAGATTAGTCTACCTACTGCTATAGTCTCATGAGAGCACTTTTTCCTGCTTTGTGCCTTTTTAATGCCCTTGATTATCACTATTTCCATCTCCACCATTTGTCCCCATGAATATATATTCAACATAAAACATTACACTGTCATCCCTTGTACCCTTCCCAGCTCTCTAGGATTGTATCTTTTTGTATTACCATTGCATTCAGTGGTGTATTCCACCAGCATTGATAAGGTCGTCAATAAATCATCATTGTATTTAGAGCTCAGTGAATAATGGAAAAATTTGTATTTTAATGGACAACATCAGAGGTAAAAGCTTTGCTTTAATGCCAGAATATTCTCTCCTGAAGTAAGACATGAGTGGGCCTGAAATACAGCTTTGGAGGTTTGTGCTAGGGCCTTCCACATGAGGGTGAACTTCACCCACGGAGGGGAAAAATCATGAAGAAAATTATGAATAATTAAAAACCACAGATAAATCTGAGACTACTGCAACCTACTTGCCAATATTTTAGGAACAGGAAAGAAGGCAAAATCTGATCAATACATTATTCATTATGAGTTATTCCTCAGCTCTGTGCTTTACACATAGACCTATGTATAAATTGCAGGAGACATATTCCAGGTAACATTTACTTCCATGCAAAATTGTATTTTAGTTCTGCTGCAGAATGAAAGTAAATATAACTAGTCCTACTGCTGGTTGGTTTGAACATTGCATCTCTGCCAGAAGGTTTAGGAATATTTGAGTACTCCAATAGCTCAAGCTTCCTAAAGTATTAATGATATTCTTCCAGCATTTGCCTTTCTATTAAAGAATTCTCTTAGATAGATTATGTATTTTGTGTAGGAGTGGAGAACTGTCCTGAAAAAACAATGACCTCTCCAGGATGCTATGTTGAAGCTTATGCTTTTATAGCTATTGGTATGTTGCCCTGAGTGTATCTGATTACCCAATGCCTGAAACAGCTACTGGTTTCCTCAGAAACCAGGCCTGGCACTCAGTGATGATAGCTTTCAGACCCAAAGATCCAGGAAAAACAGTCACCAGACCAGAGATAGCCACTATTTCCGAAAAGGGAAAGATGCCTTTCTTGCTGGAAACTCTTGTTAGCTGGAACGTTTTTCCCTCTTCTATGATCACAAGTCTAATCAGACCACCTTTTTTTCTTTTTTAATAGTTGTAGGTTTGCTTTGGCCTCTCTCTTTGAAACTGTAAACTGATTTTCTGTCTCTGCCATCTGACCCTGAAAACCATCCACCCTGCCAAAGAGTTGAGGCTCAGAAGCTTTAACGCTAAATCTTGTATGATGCACAAGTCCAAGTCTGATTTTTTTCCTGCCCTTCAGCATTGCCATCTTGACTGTCTTCCAGTTCTGGTCCTGTTTTTCTTCTGTGCTGTGTTTTTTATCTCAAATTTGTCAGAAATTTCCTTTGGAGGAGTTTATAGCAATTCTAGAGACATCTTCACAGTTGAGCTTGCAGAAAATGCACTCTTTCACCACCTCAGTCAAGCTTTTTATAAGGTGCTGACCGGTGCCCACATAGGAAAAGGCAAACCCTGGTCTGCTTCGTGTGAGCATTTGCATAGACTGATTCCAAGAGCTCTCATCTGGGTAAACTGGGAGCTGATCTCTCCTACAACCTCCCCTCACAGCGAAAAAATCCTGCCAAACCGAGCTGGTGTTTTGGAGGCACCTGACTGCAGGAAGCAGTGACTGTTTAATAGACACCCCTGCATCTTTATGCACAGGGAGAGGAGAAAGAAGGAAAAGGAAAAAGAGGGGAGACTGGAATCTTGAAAAGTTTGTTTTCTTCATAAAGTTGCTGCTTCATGCTGGACTCCTCTGAATGAGAAGGGCTGGCAACATCCTTTGCCCATAGCTGCTGCTGTTGACACTATCTCCCACTCAGGCCACTGTTGAGTCTGCTGGAGCTGGCATGGGCTCCTCAGCCGAATGTCGTTTTGGCTGAAAGTAATTCTTCAGGCTCCTCTCTGACACCATAAAGCAACAAGGTCACAAGGCTACATGCTGTTTTGTTTTCACTTTGTCTTTTGTAGGGAACTATAAGAGCCTAAGCTCACGTTACCCTTCCAGATTTCAGTTGAACTATCTGCATGATATCAGGCATCTCCAGCCCCCTATGCCAGACTTCTCACCAATCCTTACCATTTGCATCAGGGGTATCCAGTCTATACAGCCCTTCCCATCCTGCCACAGACTTCAGAAGATGAGGACTGTCAACCTAGCACTCTCACTACCCAATTAGTGGTAGAAAAAGTGAAAAAACAGGGATGTGAGTGACTTGTACCTATATATGTTGTGCATTGAGCAGTAGCCCTCCTTCATTCCCAAAGAAGCACAGAAGTACCTTGTGATTTTAAATATTCTTAGGAGTCGAACACATCTCAACACCGAAATGCCCAGTGGTGACATGATCTTTGTCTCAACCAGAATCGTTTCCAGGATTCCTCCACACACAATGAAACAGTCAAAGCGGTTGAAGAGGGACACAAAATAGGCCTGGAGACCAAGGCTGTACATCTTCAGCAGCATTTCTGCCGTGAAAAGAGCTAGCAGCACCTTATTGGCAGTGTCTTACAAAAAACAAACAGAAACAGATTAATGAAAATTAGTCAAAAGACGATCACAGCTAACTGTTGGCCCCTGCCTGTAAGAAACCCCTTCTGGGATCAGTCTGAAAGGTTAACCTCATATAAACTTGTGTCAAAGAATGGACTTCAAAAGCATGGGCATGTCATTCACAGAAATGTTTTACAAAGATGCTTACAGTGATTCTTATGTATCGCACATACAGCTGTGGTGTATTACACAACCACAGAACCTTCATGGCAGGGACATGCCTTCCTGTGCACAACCTCCCATCACACTTGTCATCTGCAGATGAGAGTGGGAATAGAAGAGCTGCTGTGCTACCTACTGTTGCTTAATTAAGCCTTTCAGCTGCTCTCACCTCCAGTGAGGATTCAACTGTTCTGCAGACAGAACTTTACAAATCACTCTTCCTCACCTCCCTGGTAACTAGAATTTATCATAAATGCCCTTTCAGGGGAAACCTTGGAGAACCTGTGGCCCCCAGTAGCTATCCATAAATTGGAAATCCAGTGGACGACTGCTTTGGCTGGAAATGAGGAACTTACTTTTCCCCTGAAACTTCTCCCATTGTAAGCAGATATTTTGTTGTATTTTTAAAGATCCTCGACAGACAGAGGAGTATTTGGAGCTGCGTATGCTCCTTTTACATTGTGTGGTCTGATGCATCAGCTCCTCCCTCAGCCTCCTTTTTTGACACTGACCACAATAAACAGAACCATCAGAATCTCCTCACCTTGGACCTCCGTGAGCCAGTCTGGCTGGTTGTAGTGTTCAGAGGCAATGGTAAGGGTGTTGAGAAACACGAGGAAGATCACCAACCAGTAGAAAACATTGGACTTGACAGCGGCACGGCACTTTCTTCTGCAGAATCGATTCCATCGGCGCCAGTAGCGACTTGAAAAATTGGAAAAGGAAAAGTTATTTTCAGATAGGGATCCCTACGCTATTACAAATCTCTGTCAAGAGAGACTCTAGTCTTGATTTATTGTTCAAGAGTGGTAGAGAATAACTTCAAAGTTCACCCTGAGAAACGTTCTTTCATTCTTGTCTGAGTCGACAGTTGTGATCATCCTTCCTTTAGCTATAGGAATAAAGTTAGTCTTAAGCCAATTTGCAACATTTTGGGGTGAATAAACATCTTCAAGCAATGTCTTAAGCTAAGACATCCATCACAGCTACCCTGAGAGCTTTTTTTAGCCCAGTTCCCACAAAAATAATTATTACTCTTGTATTTAATGCTTGTGGCCTGCAATGGGACCTTGCCCAGCCTCAGGATAATCAATGAAAAGATACTAACTATATACCATGGACCTTTAAATTAAGTCCTTGGGGAGGTGAGGTCAAATAAAATCCATGGAGCATTTCCAACATTCAGCAATGTTTGGGAGTAAGCCTAATATGAGGGCTAACTCTGAGCAGAAAAACAAAACTTAGGGGACCTCAGCATCTCACCTTCATGCCTGGAACTAAGGATACCATTTGCTAATCAACAGACCTTTTAAAGTTTTCCTTCCATGAACACATCCCCTTGTGTCACTGATTTCTGAGGGTAATTACTAACCACAGAAGATATTTAAAGCTAATTACACACCTCCTACTCTTCAGAATTTAACTTGCATAGCAACCAGTTTCCAGGCAACACTTGCCACTGTATAATAAATCTAATAGTTTTATATAGATATTGCATACATATAGGTGTGTGAATGTGCATGCATGTGTCTCTTTAGAGACACACATGTATACAACATTACAGGAAGAGAGAACTTTTCTTGGCTAGTCTTCTTTTACATATTATTTCCAGTAATCAACTATGGCCATGCTTGAGGTCAGAGTTCAGCATCTATACAAACTAAAGCCGGGCAACATGAACATTACACACTGGCCAAAAATTTGCAAGAACATTTGATCAGGTAGTCAAATTCAGGCTGTTTTAGCTATGCAGTTTACAAAGACACCCAGTCTAGCTAGCACAAACATTTAATAAGTGTTGTGTGTTTTGCAGTGGATTTGGGACAAGAAATGATCTTCCTAACTTTCAAAATGGGCACAACACTTAGACATTCATGTTGTCATCAAATCATTAGCAATCCCACATGCTTTTCTGTGTACATGTGCATAAGTGTGTATGCACATGACCATGTGATGATACAAGTGTTTTTTGTGCTTAGACCTCCATACAAATAAATCCATGGATTGTAGGAATGTGATCATGTGTGCAACTCCACACAGGGATGCATATAGGCAGTATGTATGCATATATGCATTCCTGAATTTACATAACTGTTCATTATTTACGTAGGCTGAAGGACAGAGTTGCTTACTTGTTCCAGTTATTCTGAAAATTAATTTAATTTTTTATAAAACTGACTTTGAATTCAGAGTTGTGGAGGCAGCTGGGCTCCTACTGAAGAGGTAGAAATGGACTGGGACCTCAACAGGCAAGTTCCATGAATTCAGTCAGCCTTTCCAGTGGAAACCCACAGATGACCACCTAGGGACTGCTTCACGTTTTCAGAAAGTTTAAGTGAACAGAAAAACAAATACCACCAGAAAAACTCCACATGTCCCATGGTGAGAGGGAGAATTTCACAAATAAGATGCAAACCCCATCAGTTGAAAGATTTACAATCAAGCAAACCAGAGTAATGCAACAAAGTGTAGGAAAGAGAACCTTGAGCCAACAGGGTTGATGTTGATGGATGTAGTATAATTATGTGGTTGAACTTTTTTTCTTCTGCTTTTCTATTTTATGGGTTGAGATATGTAGGTAGCAATCAGATAGGTACTTCTAAGTGAAATACTTTTGGTAGTCCCTGTGCCTTATTTCAGTATGAAAGTAAGAAAAAGGAACTTGATTTTTGGTAGATGACTGACTAAAATCTGAAAAGTTTGGCAGTATCTCCTAGAATCACCACTGTGCCCCACAGATGCAGGAGTAAACTACTTCACAAAGGAACAAAACTAGTGGAAAGAAGGAAAAGCAAAAGTCAGTTTTACTTACCTAAACTTTGATTTTGAGATCCGATGCCTGAAAGATAAGAATTGCCATTAAAGTCTCTGAAGCTATCCCATACCTCCCAGGCTTTTATGAAAATAGCAATAGAAAGAAACAAAGTTAAGCTCAATTAATTTTTCAATGGATGCTGTTTTCCTCTTGAATCCTCTATAAGTCAATGTAGACACTGGGCATAGCTAGAATTCCCTGACATATCTTGGTTTTTGGCGGGAGTCACGAAACAGGAGTCATGTCATGATGGGATTCTACCACCTACAGACATCAGTGAACTAGCTTTTCTCTTGGCTAAAAGGCTAGCCTAATGCTAGGGGCATTCCACATCTGCTACTAACTTTAATTTTCAAGTATAACTCTTTTTTCTTTTAGTCACTAGGGTTTTCCTTATATTAAAATGTATGACTTTATACAGACAGACTTGTTGCTTTCACACATCACCTATCACTTCAGGATATATAAGCACATTATGAAACCATGGGGAAAAGGGGGAAAAGAATGCTTTTTTTTTTTTTCCCCAGCAATTGAAGGAAAAACAATGCATGGTGGATATTTTCAAACTTAGATACTAATGCTTATTTGTCTTTGTTATCTATGTAAATTGGTTTGAATTCAAAAGGGTCTGAACAATAGCAGATTCTGTTGCTATCAATGAAATTTTGGGAATTAAGCATTCCTGAAAATTTGGCCATGCTCCCACTATATGTGTGTTTAAATACCTAATTCCATACTTGGATTTATTCACCTAAATAATCTCATTAGCCTTTTATGAGAAGCCACAGGCAAAACTAAATATAGACCCCAATTCTCTAACCACTACCTTGCTCTGCCTGATGCATATTCTAGAAGCCCTTGAACTCTTTGGCTGTCTTTTGGTATATACATAATGGTGCACAGAGAGAAATAAAGGTATGTGTATGCAATGACATGAGTCAGAGATGATTTAGGAAGGTGCAAAATCCACTACCACTAACAGAAGAAATGAGAATCTAGGGAGTGATTATGAACAAGATATTTCTGCTGGGTTGAAGCATTTCTTAAGGTTCCTTCTATGATATGAAAGTGATTCATTGTTGGCAACAGTCAGCAAAGGTCTTACTGTACTGGCTTAAAAATGAATTCACTGTTAGTAGACATGGGACAAAGTAATTCTCAAAGCATCTAACACCACTTTCTGTAGCAGTCTTAAAAATGGTCATGTCCCTGTTTGAGGACATCAGTCACTGACAAGTAAACAGGGATGGGTCAGTTTCCTTATGTGGAAGAGATTTTAGTGATAGGAACATTTCACCAGCAGATGGTCCAAACCAAAAAAAAGTGCCTTTTCACTGAATACATCATTCCTTTTTTTTTTGCAGCTTGTCTAGGGCACATACTAGGCAGCAGAGTGGTTACAGACACACATGAGAACACTTTTGATAAAGAAGAAATAATGCACTGGCTGAAGAGAATACTAAATTATGCTGCAGAGACAAAGTGAGTTTCAACATGAATGATGCATGAAGCACCTACAAAGCACGTCCTTAATGTTAAAGTTATCCCAACTTCTCACTGAGAATTCTTGCTTGGTAAGTGCTACCTATAAACTGTAATGGATCAGGCTTACAGGCAACAAGAAAGAAGGCTCAGACAAAGATGGGAAAGAAAAAGAAGAAAAAATCACAATGAAGGAGAAACCAAGGCACTGAAAAGGAGATGGAGAGAACTTTCATAAGAAAAGGGGGGGGGGAGA